CAGAGTACTGGGATTACAGCTATGGGCCACCACACCCAGCTGAGGCTTCTCAATTTTTATTAATGAATTAATTAATTCAATTCATGTTTTTTGATTCTGAAAAGCCTATTTTAATTTTCTTTTTGAAACAAACCCTTACCAAGTTTCTATGTTGCCCAGGCTAGCCTTGAACTTGTGACCTTTCTGCTTCAGCCTCCCATAGGTCTGGGGTATAGATGTGCCCCACCAAGCCGACCTCAATATATTTTTACTATCATAATACTCTGAAACAAGTATTTTTTTATGATTCCCAAGTTCTTCTTCTGTTTTCTACTCATGGTCTCTTTCCATAAAGATAGTAGAGATCACATTCTGAACTGCTCATCTTTAGGTGCATCTGTCTAAAATTCCTGTCTAGAGAACTGAGACTATGGCACTATTTTCCTATTCACCCAAGGCAGCCCAAGGAAACTTTTTTTTTTTTTAATTCTTTGATTGGTACATTTTAGGTATACAACACATTTACATTTCTCATTGGGAACTTGTACCTTTACATGATGCATCTTGGTTCTTACTTTTTCTCCATTCCCAGCCCTCCCTTCACCCCCTCCACCCTTCCCTGTTTACAAAGACTTTGTTTCCATTTTTTCCATTTCCCATAATTTTTCCTTTCCCTTCTTTAAAAGGAAACTTCTGAAACTCATTCTGCCCCAAGAAGTCATGCAGCAGAGACCACGTGATGGGGTCAGAGACTATATAAGCTACAATGACATGTTGAAACACTGAGGGTGGAGATCAAATTCTGGTTTCAGATATATATCTATATAGATATCTGTATAGATATCTATATAGATATATATATCAGATATATATCAGATATATATTCATATATGTGAATGATTGTATGCACAGTTTTGATGGACACTCAAAGTATGTGGAGATTTCTATCTCTCTACCCCAGCAAATCCATTCTATCTTCTGCGTCAGATCTCAGGAAATGTCCTTTGAAAACAAGACTGCATTAGAAGTTCTGTTGGGCAACCTATGGGTGCAATGAGATTTTCTTTTCCCAGTTGGCTCTCTCATTCCATGCCAAGTGACAACTGTTTTCCAGTTTTAAATTTGGTAAATATGAGAGGAGAATAAAATGCCAGGTGGACTTCAGCTCAAATAGGTCAAGTTTCCTATTCATTCTGGAAAGTTGATCACATAATTCTCATTTCCACCATTGTTTTCTGATGCCCCTAATATACAGCTGTGCATTTTTTTCTTTTTTAAACTTTTTGAGATATTTGTATATTCACATGCAATTTTAAAGGGGACAAAGAAGATCTCATATACCCTCACATAATTCTCCCACTGATCACATCTTGCATGTTATAGCACATTATCACAAGAGGAAATTGATATTGATACAGCCCACCCATCTTGTTTAAATTCCAGTAGACTTATTGTATTGTGTGTTTACATACAGCTTTTTTACTCATTCATGTGTTTTTGCATGTCTATGTGTGTGTGTGTGTGTGTGTGTTTGTGTGTGTGTGTGTATGTAGTCTATACCACAGCAAGATACTTTCTTTTCCTACCCACCCCAGCCCACTATGGGAATATCTCATTTCTGTTTCTTAATCAAAAAACATTTTAAATATATATTATGTAAGGCATGTTGTTTTGAAATGTGTGTACATTGCTGAAAGGCTCAATTTAGATAAGTAGTATATAGATTACCTCATGTACTTATTTTTTTTGTGATGAGAACAATTAATGTCGTGTTAGTGATTTTCAAAATACAATACATTATTATTAATGATAGCCACCATGTTGTGCAATAGATCTTTTGAAATTATTCTCTTTATCTTACTGAAATTTTGTATTTCTTTAAGTATTTTAATGGGGTTCGTATTGAACCATATTCATTGTTTCAGTGTCATATTTTCACCTGTGCATAAAATACATCTTGATCACATCCTTCATCCCATTAACTTTCCTTATACCTTCTTTCCCCCCTCCCATTTATTCTCTTCTTGTATAATAACAATATCTCTTCAACATTTGTGGCTTTTTTTAGATACCACAAATTAGGGAAATGGATATACATTCCCACTCACTGACCCTGGTCATGGGACACAGAAGAGAGCTCTCTTACTGGGGAGGGATGGAATATTTTGAATGATTTACAGAGCAGTGTTCAGAAATATGAGACACAGAGTCTTGAGAGGACAGAAAGTGACCTTCTCCAAGCCTAGAGGAGAGCCAGAGTCAGAGAACAATCACTGCTGGACCTCAGTACTGCAATTCCTAGGCTCCAGAACTAGAAGAAAATAAATTTCTCTTGTTTAAACCAGGAAGCACAGTATATTTTGGTTCACTTGGAGGTCCAAGGAGATATATATGTCAGCTTGACCCTCCCCGACCAGAATGCTTCAGCAGATACCTTATGGGCTTGAGGACAAAGCTTTGTTCTTCTTCCTCCTACAGCCATGACTGCTGAGAAAGGAGGACTCAGAATTCATTCTCAGTATGTTTGCATTTACTACCATTGTTTCCTTGGGGACTTGGCTGTTGCCCCTATTTTCCTTTCAAATTAAAATTGTGTCCACTTGAATGGGAATTTCTTGGCATTTATATACATACAGTTTCCAACTTAGATGCCAGTAGGAACTGTGTGTTGTCTCCATCTCTAGCCTTGTTCCTATGGTCCAGAAGATAGGGTCACCATCCAATCTAGGACTCATCCAAGTATCAAAAATGTCACAGCTTGGGACCAGAACTCAGACCTACTTCCTAGGATCCTGCTCACTCACGCAACTCCTTTGACATAATGCCTTCCTGAGTAAGGGACAAATGTCATTCTGGCTATCAGTAATGGAACTGCCCTCGGTGCATGTGTTTCTCCTTCTTTCAGCTTGGGGCGATAATCTCCCTGGCTGTTGTTTCAACCTGTGGGAGCTTCTATAGGGCTCAGGCTATCTTAGGGGAATAGTCTGGGAGACAGCTGTGAAATAAAATCTTATTCCCTGTTCTTCTTCCACTCTCTTCACCACTTAGCACCTCTAGTTTATCTGCTCTGTAACATCAATTTGATCCTACAGTAGATGATTTTTAAATAAATCTCTGCTATGAAATCATTTGGTGAGTTTTTTTAAACTCAAAAGGTGGCAGTGGCCTCCAGAGTTGTTTCTTACACACATCATTATTGACCCAGAGTTTTTATTTTGTTCTATGAATACTTATGGAGGAGTCACTGTTGGTAAGTTGTGGTTTTTTGGAGACCAGAAAGAAACATGACAAATTTTCAGAAATATGCACATGTGGCAAAGTCAACTCACTGTAAACAGAGTCCCAGCAGCCATATAAACCATGAAATCTGGACAGAGAGACCCCCATGTCACTCAGTCAAAAGAGAGGCTGCCAGCAGGCTGTGCAGTGCCTTGTGCTTTGACCATCCAACTACCAAGCTGCCCTGCGTGATGGGAGCCAGTAGGGGAGATGCTGCTGACACCAAGAAAACTTTGGACATAAAACTTGTCTCCTCTTCATCCCCAGAGCATCTGTCCATCTCCCTATCACTTACTGCTATTTGTTCCCAGATTCCCTTGGGGCAGTAAGTGCCATCTACATGGGACAGGTTATGACTTGGTTCAACAGGGACAGAGGTGAGTCCTGGGTTTCCTGACCCATGGGCTCAGGAATAGAAAAGGGATCCCAGTGAGATGCAACAAGTCTGAGTTTTAAAGCTTCAGGTTCAATTTATCAAAGCTTTAAAGGATACATTATGCTGTTAATTCAAGTTACACTTTGCATTCACCATTAATTGGTTTTATGAAGGCATGAAGAGTACCAAAATTGATGAGCATTAAACAAATTGTTTGAGCTGCAAAGAGTAGCAACAAATGCTAGGACAAATTTTTCACATCAAACTTTGTGGAGTACCAAATTCCATGTATGCAGTCAAGTACCAAAGTATGACTGTATAGCTATTAACATATAAATATGTATATTATTTATTCCTAATATTGATGCACTACCATATAATTATATCAATAAAACATATAAACTATTATATGTATTATTTAACATGCAGATTACAGAACTATGAAAATGATTCATTTAAAATGTTCTTAGTTTCTTTCTAAGACAAGGGTCTGGGTGGGACATCTGCTAACACTTCTCTTTGGCCCCAAGAAGATATTGGCCCCTGAAAACTGATGAAAAGATTACTGAGAACACCTGGACCCAGAGAACCAGTACCAGCCCTGTGGTTTAGTCCCTGAGACTCTCACCGTGGCTCCAGGCTCTCAGCTTGCTTCGGTGCCTATGTGTAGTGAACAATTTCCTCCCCTGGGTGCCCTGCCAAGCAGCCCTATGGGCAGAACATCTGGTCCTCCCAGGTCCTCAGCTGCAGTGCTCAGGAGTGCAGCTGCTTTCAGCCCAGGTTTGAGGCCAGTGTTCCGAAATCCAGACATTTATTACAGTACCTGAAAGTCTGTGCTGACACTAAATTCACACTTTCCAAAGCCACAATTGTCACCCTAGTAATTAGAAATTTTACCTCATTGTGATCTTCACAAACTGAGATTCTCCAGCTCTACCAGATAATGATGCTCTGGGATCTTTCTTCCTCATACACCTTCACTTAGAAAAATTAATTAATTCAAAATTCAGTAAAACTCTTGACAGCTACACAGCAGCCAGTCCCCTTCTACGGTTTATTTACCACCAGCTCTGTCCTGCTGTGCATGGTAAGGACAGGTGAGCCTCTCCCACCCCAGGACAGGAGCAGGGACTGTGGGGTGCATGTAGTTGGCTCAGAAATAATCTGGGAGAGTAGAGCGATGGATGGACACAGTGTCTGAGAAAGATTTTGTTTCTTCGTTAAATGAGGGAATGTGAATAGTTCACCTTGCCCAGCCCCAGCTGATTTGCATGTGCCTAGGGCACAGCCCACTGCCCTGAGGATTTCTTCATAGGCTGCTCACACCCTGTGCAGGAATCAGTCCCAGTTAGGACACAGCATGGACATGAGGGCCCCCGCTCAGCTCCTGGGGCTCCTGCTGCTCTGGCTCCCAGATAAGGAAGGAGCACACTGGAATTATGCTCAATCCAGTGTGGTCAGTGTTGCTAGCTCCTTAGGAAAGTGTTCTTGTAACATGATTAATCATGTGGATGTTTGTATTTGTGTTCCCAATGTAGGTGCCAGCTGTGACATCCAGATGACCCAGTCTCCATCCTCCCTGTCTGCTTCTGAAGGAAACAGTATCACTATCACTTGCCGGGCCAGTCAAGGCATTAGCAGTTACTTAAACTGGTATCAGCAGAAACCAGGGAAAGCTCCTAAACTTCTGATCTATAGGGCATCCAGCTTAGAAAGTGGGGTTCCGTCGAGGTTCAGTGGCAGTGGATCTGGGACAGATTTCAGTCTCACCATTAACAGCGTGGAGCCTGAAGATGTTGCAACTTATTACTGTCAACAGGGTAACAACTGGCCTCCCACGGTGATACAAGCCATAACATAAACCTCCCAGGGAAGCAGAATTGTGAGGCTGGGCTGCCCTAGCTGCTCCTCTTGAGGCCACAGTCAGCTGAGAGTGTTTCTCAGATCCAGCAAGCCTATTCCTGGTGGGTCATGATTGTAACTTCAGTTGAGATTCATACAGCATAGTAAAAGTCATTATAGAAATTCTCAACAGGAATTGTTTTAAATGCAGGGAATGATACCTAAGGTACTTTATGCATCAAATTTTTAATATATTTTATTAGCACAATAATTGTACACATTCATGATATTCTCTAGGATTTTCCATATATGAACACAGCATATGTTGATCATACACATCCACCTTTCTTCTATTTTGTGTTCTTCCCCCTCACACCTAACATCATTCTTTATCTCTATTAATCACTATTATTTCTGATCATCTTTATTTTTACAGTTTCTCCGTATAAGTCAGGACAAGCGATACTTGTATTTTAGTGTCTTCATTTCACTTCATATGGTGTCCTACAGTTCCATTCATTTTTTTCCAAATGACAGGAATTTATTGTTTTATGGCTGAGTAATACTCAGTTTTGTATGTGTACCATATTTTATTTATCCAGTAATCTATTGCTGGTTATAGGCTGACCTCAGATCTTTTAGATGCTGCAAATACTGCTAGAATAAATACAGACATTCATGAATGTGCGTTGTATGCTGACTTTATTTTCTTTGTATACACGCCCAGGATTAATTGCCTGGATCATATGGTAATTCTATTTTTAATTTTCTGATGAATCTTTGTACTATTTTCTATAGAATCTGTGCTAATTTCCATGACCAACATTGTATGAGAGTTCCTTTTCAACATATTCCCAGCAGTTGCTATTTTTATATTAAACATCAAACTGTGGTGAGACCGTTCTTCAGCCACTGGTGCTGGGAAAATTGAATATGTGCCTGCAGAATATTGAGACCTGACCCCTATAAAGGTATTGGTACAGGCAATGATTTCCTGAATAGGATTCCGAAATCTTATGTGACACATGGGATTATATTAAACTTCCAAGCTTCTACACATCAAAGAAACACTCAACAGAGTGAAACAACAACGTAAAGGTTAGGAGAAAATATTTGCCAGCTTTTCACCTGACAGAGGGTTAATATGCAGATTATATAAGAAACTCACAAAATGTAGCAACGATTACCACAAAAAACAAAATGTGGTCAAATGATCTGAACAGACACTTCTCAAAAGAAGAAATACAAAAGGCCAGTAAGTATAGAAAAAATAGTCTATGGGCTTTAAAAGAAATGGCTGAGAAAAAAGGTAGTCGAAGTAGGCTATAAGAAACAGAGAAATCACTCACCCTCCTCTGGAAGCCAGAGAGCATTTGCCACAGGATCTATAAGCTGCCTAATGTGATTTTTCAGTGGTCTGTGACGCCCAGACGCTGATGCTCTTCCCTGCCTGATGCTCTTCCCTGCCAGAAACAACTCACAGGTGAGCGTCAGTCCTCATCTCTGATAAAGGGTCTGTCTCCAGGTGTTTTGGGATGCATGGGCTCTTCCTCTCCTGATTTCCAAATTCTACAGAGAACTCTCACTAAGCAACTCTATAGAAAATCCAGGAGGAAAAAAATTCTGGCAAAGATGCTTCTAAAATGTCAGTGATGATGTCATACTGACAGCTGACTACAGTGTTGTCACTGTTTCACAACTCTCAGGGTTTTATCACTCTTGCAGTGGACTTGGGCTACACTTGAAAATCCTTCTAAATCTACAAGATGATCTAGCTTCAGCATGAAATTTCATTAAGTCTTATGCTAAACCATGTGATATTTAAGATTGTGTGTCTGATTTAGTTTACTTAACATGCTCTTGAGGTGCATCCAATTTCCTACAATAATTTGTTTATGGCATATAGTACTTTATTGTGTATCAATATCACATTTTCTTTATCCATGCATCTGTTGATGGACATATAGGCCTTTTTCAATATTTCACTATTATAAATTGTGCTGCCATAAACATGGGTATGAATGTATTAAAATGATGATTTTAACTCTTTCAGGAAAATACCTAGAAGTGGAATAATTCAGTCAAATGGAATTTCTAGTTTTTACTTCTCTAAGCAATCTCCATACTGAATTCCACAATGGTTGTACTATATTACCTTCCCACCAACAATGTAAAAGGGCTGATTTTCCCCCCATGGTATAATCAACATTCATTATTATTTAATTTTTTGATGATGGCCATTCTTTCTGGAGTGAGATGGAATCTCAATTTTGTTTCAATTAGAATTTCTCTAATGGTCAGAAATGTTCCATGCTTTTTATATATCTATTGGCCATGTGTACTTCTGAGTAGAGTTTATTCATTTAGCTTGCCCATTTTTGATTGGGTCTTTTATTTTGGAGGATCTATTTTTAAAAATTTCTTCATATATTCTATATATTTGTCCTCTAAGAAATGGTTTGGAAAAACTCAACAAATGCAGTCATATCAAATAAAAAAAGCTTCTGCATAGCAAAATGAAAAATATTTAAATGGGACAAAGTATTCTTTATAAGTTAAGGAAAGAGACTGTTATATTTTCCATTTTAAAACCATCACTTAGAAATTTTAAAGTGTAATCAATATATAAAATGAATGTTTAATTAATAAAAATATATTACAGTGAAAGGCACAGTGATGTTATTCCCTTCAAAATACTCCCTCTTCTGCAGACATACTGATCCCATCCTTCTTGCCTCTTTCTGAAACAGTTCTGGAAGTTACCTTTTGTGAGTGTCTTCAGTTTCACTGTCTTGGTTGCCTTCGTGTCCTGAAATCCTTCAAAATGATTAATTGTCAATGCAATTTTGAGTTTGTGGAAGGACCAGATATTACACAATGACAGATCCATTGAATAAGGTAGAAAAGAATGCACTGTAATTTTTATGTTTGGCAGAAATTGCCTTAAACATTTGAATAGTGAGGGTGAATATGATGACTATTTAAATAAAACTATTTATTATAGGTAAAGGCATGTTGCCATTTATTCCTCTCAAAATTACTCATGCTCATTTCAAACATGCTTATACTATCATCCTTGGAAATATGTGTTTTACTGTAATAATTTTTATAAAATTTAAACATTCACTGCATTTGTATCATTTTTTATATAGCAATTTATCCTGAGTACTAAGCACAAGAACTATAATATATTTAACCATGTTTGCTCACTTAATCTATAGATATAAAAGTGGATTAAATTTTCTATTTTTTAAATTTTTGCATATTATTCATGTCAGTCACTGGCCTTTGGCCTTTATCTCTAATAACCTGATAAGCTTTGTAATGGGAAATTTTTATAATTTCATATAACACTTTTGGAAGATTTTACCCTTTATAATTCTCATGAAATTTTAAGTAATTTTGACAAGATTACTACCACCCACCACTAAAGAAAATATAAAATTGAATTTTGTCACCTAGCAATGTCTTTATTGCATATTTCTTTTTTTCCTTAAATTCTTTTATTGGTACATTTTAGGTATACAATACACTTACATTTATCATTGGGTAACCTGTACATTATGTATCTTGTTTCTTATTTTTTCCCCATTCCCTGTCCTCCCTTCACCCTCTCCACCCTTCCCTATTTACAAAGACTTTGTTTACATATTTTTCCTTTTCTCATAATTTTTTCTTTCATTTCTTTCCTTTCCCCTTCCCCTCCCACTTCCTCTACCCTTTTGGACCCTTCCTTCCTATTTCAAATTATCAATTATTCATTTTAATTATTTTAATCCTTATTTACACTTTCAGTTTCTCACACCAGAGAAACTATTTGGTATTTACACATGTGTGGCCTATCTATTTCACTTAAGAGTATGTCTTCAATATCCATTCATTTAGCTATAAATGTCTCCAGTTTGTCATTCTTTATGGCTGACTAGAGCTCCATTTTATAAAAAAAATACATCTTCTATATCCAGTTACCAGTTGATGGGCACTTGGGCTTTTTCCAAGCTTTAGCTATTACAAACTGTGCTGCTATAAACATGGGCTCACATATATTGCTGTGATATGATTCTTTTAATTTTTTTCGGAAGATACCCAGCAGGGGAATAGCTGGGTCAAATGGGACATCTAGTCCTAGTTCTTTGAGGTATCTCCATACTGATTTCCACAGTGGTTGCACCAGTCTGCACTCCCATCAACAATGGAGAAGGGTTTTTATTACATATTTCTTATTGTTCCTGTCAAATTACTGTAAAAATTACTGTTACTATAAAAATTTTCATAATACTTTCCTTTGATTTGTTCACTGTTGTCAACTCCGTAGTAATTTAACCATTTTTTTCCAATGTGGTACTTTGCATCTTTTTCTATCTTTCCTTTATCCCTCCTCATGGAATAAACATGTTTTCCACTTCTTTTGGGGACAGTATGCCCCATATGACTTGGTGGTTTTTCTGGGTATGACATTCTTCACCATGTTACCATGTTTACATTTTATGCTATGCAAAGTGCTGTGACATAGCCTGACCTTCACAGAAAATGTGGTCTGTGTCCAATCACACCCTCCTACTCCTCTATAGAAATCCCTGCTCCTTACAGATACAATCTACATAATTATTACAAGCCCAGATTCAAACTGGGCCTGTGCTCTACACAAGTCTGTATGCATAGGGAGATAAAAATCTGTTTGACAAGGAACACACAGTTCTTACACTACAAAGTAATCTAGCATTCTCCCATAAATGAGCCTAGTTTCTTGCATCTCTTCCTATCACTACAAACCTGTAGTGCCTAAGCAGATCTGTCAAATCTCCAACTCTACCACTCTAAGAACCACCATTTGTGGTGTATAGATGGAATTGAAATTAAGAGGAAGAGTAGAATTTGACTATGTTCCAGCATCTTCTAAACCTCAGAAGAATAGATTGGTACAATGAGAATGCCCTGCATGTTCTTCTCCATAAGCAATACTCTTCTTTTGTGAGCAGATTGTGTCTCCCATCTTATACTCCCTTGCCATGTAATCTG